CAAATTTTAAATTCTGAAACCAAACTCACGAACATCAGACGTAGTAGATGCGGACAGACTTAAAAGGGTGCACAAAGAGTTACTCCCCAGAGATGTTAACGATGTCCCAGACACATCTGTTCAGACTACAAACACATCAAGTACACCAGCTGTAGCCAATGATTATTGTTTAAAACTAAATTTGCGAAACAATTCTAAGATGAATCTACCTCTTTCAGAATGGCATGGATCGTAGCACTTCTACTCCTCTACTCTACTCTACTCTACTCCCAAAGGTGCCCTAGCCGCATCTTTGGGACGGGTCCTCATCATTGAAGACGTCGTGACCATAAAATATGAGATGCACGGTTTACTAACTATTCTTGACCAGATGAGGTCTATTGATGCTTATCTCCAGACAGCTCTGGGCACCCCCGAAACTCTAAGTCAACTTCCTAACATTTCTACCATGGTACTACAAACAATAAATCTTCAGCTACTTCGTCTCAGGATCCTTCACAAGAATATCGTCACAGCTGGATGCTCTATTCCATCATCTCAAGATGACATTGCTAAGAAGGCGCGTTCTCAAACACAACGAAAGCGAGGATTATTTAACTTTGTTGGTCTCATTCAGAGCACTCTATTTGGCACGGCAACTGCAGAAGACGTAGCTAAATTAGGAGACCTCATGAATATTGTAACTCAAGCAGTACATAAACAGAATCGTGCTATAACTCAGACTGAACTAGCCCTTTAACCATTGATTCTTGATTAGTTAATGGAGCTAGAACATGTAAAAAAGTTGATTGGGTTTTCTGTAGTGAAACCCAATATGTTCCTTTTTTGTGTTTATTATAATAAGGGTTTCTATGTACACTTTCAAAAAGGATATCACCGTAACTATCTCAATTGAGCTATGGATGTTAGAATCAGACGGCAAGCTTGTCTGTGAAGCTTGGTTATCAATATGTCTGTTTCTCGTGAGGGTTGAGTGAAGACTGAGTGATCACTGGGGGCAAATAGCCGGCTTCCTACAGCTAACCTAAGGTCTAAATTGAGAAGCGCCCTCCAGTGGAAAGTTACCGATCACGTGTTCAATGAATAGACCACATGATCACTGCATGACATCTCACTGCTCATGGAATGTTATCGTGGGTGATGAAGTTATACAAGACAAATGTAATTAACCCACATTTATATAATACTAGCAGAATCGCCGCCCTCCGGGCAGCTCATCCGCTAGGCAACGGTAGGACGCTCCACATTGTCTCACTGTAGACCACTGTAGACCATATTTTTGGTTTTGCCATTAGCAGCAAGTATGTACAGATTTTTGCCAGTTCCCACTCTGGAGCATCCAACATAGAACTGTCCATGAGAGAAGCAAGGAAACACCAGGTTTAGGCCAACCATCTTCAGGGACTGTCCCTGGCTTTTGTAAATGGTCATGGCAAATTTCACTTTAACCGGGAACTGAAGTCGCTTGAACTCAAATAGCAGGTCAGTGGTGATGAGAGGTATCCTTGGTATAAAAACGTCCTCTCCTTTAGCTTTTCCTGTCAGTATTGTGGCTTCCAGTACATGTGGCATCATGTTCTTCACCACCAGTCTTGTGCCATTGCAGAGGATTGGTGGTTCAAGATTTCTTAAGAGCATTATAGGAGTTCTAATGTTGAGAGTGAGGTGGTGAGGAGGCATTCCAGCGGTTTCCACAGAATTAAGGAATTCTGCAGGGCACTGGACTGCTTGGTCCTGGTCGATTACTGTATTAACAGATTTGAATGAGGTCTCACTGCCTGGAAGCTGTCTGAGTAGAGTCATGTTGATTTCAGCCACTATTTCATTCTTTGGTGCCAGAATTGCACGCTCACGCAGCCACTTGTGGATAATGTTTGGTTAGACCATGTTAATGAGCTCAGTTGAGGACTTTACAACATTTCCACATCCTTGAGGAATGATTATTTGTCCCTCTGAATCAACAGGGAAAGTTCCATTCCCAATCTGTAGTAGGAGGTTAGCAAACCGTCCAGCATCCTGATCTCCATGTAGATGTACTCTCATGTTTGTGGATAGAGTGAGTGTCTGAACACTTCTCATAAGGTATGATGCCTTGAGTGCTGCATATGATGTTGGGCCACGGATGTGGTGCAAAAATTGTCTCAAACAAAAGCATTCAAAGTTGTTGGGGTGAACCATGTAGACACGTCCCAAAGCATTGCCTGACTTTATCCCTGGATATCCTTCAACATCGGATACTTGAGCTCTTCTCTGGAACTTTTTCATTGAAGCCTGCCATATGTAGAACTTGGGTACGTCAACATACAGGAGTATTTGAGCAAACTCATCTTCCTGTGAAAGCTTGAAGAATGCAGTGAGGGTCGTATCAGCAGGATATGCCATTTGATTTTGGAGGGACTCTTCAGTGAAGTATACTCTTTGTCCATTTTCCAGGTGAACAGCCAGATGAACTACTGTTGGACATCGTTCGTGTATGGGAAGATTAAAAATTTTCCATAGGGCTTCATTGTTGCATATATAACGGCCTTGCTGAAACTGTGTCACCTCATCATGATTTCCATCCTTTTTCAATGCAAAGATCGCTTGGTCAGAGCCTTTGTTGACGCATTTGCAGACATACTTTATGGACTTGACTGAATTGCAGAACTCCACATTGATGTGCACATTGAATGCTTTACTCAAAAGAAGATTGTAGGGGACCACCCATTTGTTGTCTATTGTTATTTCACTGTCTGTTCCAGGTCGCAACACTGCTGTAAACCCTCCATCAACTGGCGCTCTTCTCCTGTACTGAGGATAGCCATCTTCTCCACTCTGAGTATATATAAGGATAAAATTACCTATAATGCGTGGGATGTGATTCGAATTTTCAACCTCTGTGTGGTTTAACGGGTCGGGTCGGGTTGGGTGTGTCCGATCTGGTTGGTTGGAGTTTTTTTGAGTTCCCCACATGACACATGCTATCCATGCCAAGTTTGGTCCTGGCGGCTCTTTCGCTAGGCCACAGTAGGACGCCACCCTCCGGGAGGCTCCACATTATCTCACTGTTCAGTCCCGAAAACTTCTTCCATCAATAGTTCATTAACGGTGAATGTAAGTTCCGCTACAACGGTACAGCAAAGTATATTTTTTTAGCATTAAACTGTTATTATTTTATTGTCTAATCATCACTACATACGACAACACCCATCGTCACTACATATAACATCATCCATCATCACTACATATAACACCATCCATCATCACTAAATATAACACCACCCATCATCACTACATATAACAACATCCACCATCACTACATATAATACCATCCATCATCACTACAGATCGGTAAAGTAGTTTCCGAGATTCTCGTGCGGACACACACACACACACAGACATACTTCTTTGTTTTATATATATAGATAATTTCTGAATCTAGCCTTTTATCTATGGTTGTGCATGATTTGATTAGTTCCGTACCTACACTGGCATGGCTAACTCTTTTTTCTGAGTATCTGTATGCTGCGGAAAATTCTGCTCAAGCTTTATTTGCAAACAAGGACAAACTAATTGCAAGTGTAGTTGATGCAGGGTTAGGATGAGTGGATGCACAGCTTAGGCCTGTACATACTCTTCTTGACACTTTACAAATACCCAAGACGAAGTACCACTTATCCCCTAGTTTCATAGATCAGGAGGTGGAATATTTTATCCTTTGCTAGAGGCAACACTCACTCACAATGCTATACTTATCCACATACCCATGGTAGCTCAACGCAAATTTAATGCATGGCATTTAGAACCTTTTCCATTGTATTCTAATGACACACTGTTTACTCTGGATAAACCAACTGAACTTTTACTAATAGATGAAGACTATTCATTGTTAGCAGTGGATGATCCTAGGGCGTTGCCACAGCGTAAATCGTCATATCTACATTTGTATGCATGTCTGACCTATGCATTCTCGTTATTCTTGCTGCAGAAGCAATATGTAAACCAGCGATCATACAAACGAGCGTTCGCACTGCTCTGAAGCAATATAATTAAACACCAATTTTCATGAAAACTGTGTTTCATGCACATCTACATAATATGCAGTCTATTTTTTTTCCTGAGGAAACCAGTGTCATTTTACAGTGCCAGGATGGTGGTAAGTACTTAATTGTTCCAGGGTATTATATGGCTCCGGACTATTGTGAACTCACCTGTAGTTCATTGAAAATCTTGTCTTCCCATCACCATTTTGCATTGAATTTAAATCTAACTTCAGATTTGATTCTTTTGTTTCCGGCTCCTCATATGACTTTCAGTGAACTCAATATAGTTTCAGATAAATTGAAGTTTATTTCTTATCTGAAGGAGTCTCATTTCTTTAATTTAGATGATAACCTACCATTCTATTTTCAAAGGGATTTGCTAAAACCAGTTTAACTGTTCCCACTATTGTGTTAATATTGGCAGTGATATTTTTGTTTTGCTATTATAAGTCAGTACCATCTAAGTTTGCCATTGCACATAATATACTCTCCTGTAAGGCACTTCAGACTAGGTCTACAGTAGCTGCTGAACCCACGGTTGCAGCTACGTCAGTTCAGTGCCTCCACACATTTGCATGTAACATGGGTAGGTATATCTAAACTCTAAAAGGTTTTTCAGTGAGGTTAGTTAACACCTTGTTTAGCTCGGAGGGTGATGACCGAGCAATGTTATAGCCCCTGTCTAACGGACAGTAACACTTATATAAATGTGGGTTATATACATTAGGTTTATATAATTGCATCACCCATGGTAATTTTCCTATGAGTCGTGAGCATTCATCCATTAGACATGCAACAGAATATTTCCACACTCCTGTCTCTAGACTGCAGAGTCAGGAATAAAGTAGCCGGCCTTCAGGGCAGCCCACCCTCGTCTCTCACAGCAACTGGACGTATAGTGACAAGGCTAATTACTTAAATGCTTCGTCCATTATCCATGCTCACAGGTCATAGAATTAATTATGGTGATATCCTAGATATTGTTCAATAGTTTATTTTCGTAATAAATGGAGAAAAGACCATTTGGGTTTAAAAACATAACCCATAAACATTTGTGAATGTTACTTCCAGTTTACCTCAAATTAGTGATTCAACAGGTAACCAGAAACTGTAACAACTGGTATAACATCATATAGCTCACTATATCACACTGACATAACACCATCAAGCTCACTATATCAATTGATATAACACTATGAAGCTCACTATCTCACACTGATATAACATCATGTAGCTCACTATCTCACACTGACATAACATCATATAGCTCACTATCTCACACTGATATAACATCATGCAACTCACTATCTCACACTGATATAACATCATGTAGCTCACTATCTCACACTGATATAACATCATGTAGCTCACTATCTCACACTGACATAACATCATATAGCTCACTATCTCACAATGATATAACATCACGTAGCTTATTAACTCACACTGACTTAACATCATGGAGCTCACTATCTCACACTGAAATAACATCACGTAGCTCACTATCTCACCCTGACATAACATCACGTAGCTTATTAACTCGCAGTGACATAACATCATGGAGCTCACTATGTCACATTGACAAAACACCATGGAGCTCACTATCTCATCCTGACATAACATCATGTTGCTTATTAACTCACACTGACTTAACATTATGGAGCTCACTATCTCACCCTGACATAACATCACGTAGCTTATTAACTCGCAGTGACATAACATCATGGAGCTCACTATCTCACACTGAAATAACATCATGGAGCTCACTATCTCACACTGATATAACATCATAGAGCTCACTATCTCACACTGATATAACATCATGGAGCTCACTATCTCACACTGACATTACGTCATGGAGCTCACTATAGCCCACTGACATAACATCATGGGGCTCACTATCTCACACTGACATAACATCATGGAGCTCACTATCGCACACTGACATTACGTCATGGAGCTCACTATCTCACACTGACATAACATCATGGAGCTCACTATCTCACACTGACATTACGTCATGGAGCTCACTATCTCACACTGATATAACATCATAGAGCTCACTATCTCACACTGATATAACATCATGGAGCTCACTATCTCACACTGACATTACGTCATGGAGCTCACTATCTCACACTGATATAACATCATGGAGCTCACTATCTCACACTGACATAACATCATGGAGCTCACTATCTCACACTGACATTACGTCATGGAGCTCACTATCTCACACTGATATATAACATCATAGAGCTCACTATCTCACACTGATATAACATCATGGAGCTCACTATCTCACACTGACATTACGTCATGGAGCTCACTATCTCCCACTGACATAACATCATGGGGCTCACTATCTCACACTGACATAACATCATGGAGCTCACTATCTCACACTGACATTACGTCATGGAGCTCACTATCTCACACTGACATAACATCATGGAGCTCACTATCTCACACTGACATAACATCATGGAGCTCACTATCTCACACTGACATAACATCATGGAGTTCACTATCTCACACTGACATAACATCATGGAGCTCACTATCTCACACTGATATAACATCTTGGAGCTCACTATCTCACACTAACATAACATCATAGAGCTCACTATCTCACACTGATATAACATCATGGAGCTCACTATCTCACACTGACATAACATCATGGAAGTACCCCGTCAGACTGCCCGGAGCACAGTTATTTGGAAAATAATACATTTAACAATAAAAAATAATGTAGGCATGACCATTTGAAACACTGAAGAGAATGCAGAAGATTAAGATCGACTGTCGGCGATATCAACGATCTCCACATAAAGTGCAGACAGCCGGTGGGTTCTTTATGAATACACATTTCAAGACTACCTCATTCGTAGTCATCGACGGGTGTTGTGCCCTTATAGATGGCGTCTTGAGCAGCGAAGTAGGTGAGGAACTCTCCGAAGACGTTGATCTCCATATTATGTGCCAGACTGACCATGAGGAACCAGTCGCTGACGGAGGCCTTCCTCATTACCGTCGCCACATCCCTACTTCTCTCTTCTTGCACGTACATCTGCCCCAAGAGATGAAAATGTTAAGAGAATATTAAAAGTAATCCACCCACAAAGCAGTTTAGAGCTAAGTAGAAAGAAACTGGTAATGGAAGGAACCATTTTTTATATGACTGGCACAGTGTATAAGTGAAATACAGGAAAATGTAAATCAATCCATTTACAAAGTATAGAGTGTGGGTTTAAGACAAAGTGTGGTGCCGAGTAAACAGTAACCGAAGCATAAGTGTGGTGATAAATTTTCAAACAAAAGACTGGTACTGACAATAAGGAAAAAAAGAAGAGTGCGTGAAGCGATCTGTTATAAACAGAAAGCTGATAGGTGTGAACTACATAACATAAGCGTAATTTAATGGGGTTTTATCGTGATGCTCAGAATATATTAGTTACCTGATAAATTATGGTATGTAAGACATACAGGCACACAAATAGACACGGTGAGTACCTCAATACCTGGAGATGCATTACTTACACCTCTTCTCAAGGTAATAACAGAGTTAAACGACGTTACAACCTGCGAGTTTCTTTTAATACATATGCCCAGCCCAGTCATATCACTCGTCATGCATTATTGGTGATCACGGCCCTTCATTCTTAACGCTTTCGTTCGGTATTCAAAAGCTCTCCTACATTTTGAATCCCTCTGGGAACTCATACTTTAACTTTGTTCAATCATGCCAAGTCCGCCTTCCTCAATTTTACACACTAATATCTTTAATATTACCTCCTCATTTTTCTCATCATATATATATATATATATATATATATATATATATATATATATATATATATATATATATATATATATATATATATATATATATATATATATATATATATATATATAATTCACTCTAAGCTTTAACCAGACATAGAGATCTTCTTTAGTTATTTTCCAATAATATAACTTATTTTCATCATTCTCTTGTATTGTCATTTCGATGGATTTCAGCCTTAGAAAGTATCTACCTTCTGCCACGTACAACAGTACTAATTTGACACAGCTCTACACTACACAACACACACAGCACTACACGACACAGCACTACACTACACGGCACAGCACTGCGCTACACGACACACCACTACACTACACAACACAGCACTTCACTACACGGTACAGCACTGCAATACGCGATACAGCACTACACTTCACGACACAGCACTACACTCTACGACACAGCACTACAGTATAATAATGATAATGGTTGCCCCTCGTGTAACGATGATGGCCGGCTGTAGGGCCACCTAGGCGTGAATTTATTTCAGGTGTAGAAGCTGTCGCCAACACAACAACAACACCCTGAGTGATCCAGTGTCAAGGAATAGTCCGAGAAGACCGGACAACTTGCCAACTGCACTGGCTAATCATTACCCCGAAACATGATCCGCAAATCGATTAACATCCAGGTTCCCAATTACTGCTGGGTACACAGAAGCAAATGGCGCAAAGAAACTTTGCCCGGGGATCGAACCCGTGTCCACTCGCTTGCGAGGCGACCATGCTGACAATTACACCACAGGTCGCCATGACACAGCACTACACCACATGACACAGCACTACACTACTCGATACAGCACTATACTACACGACACAACACTACACTACATGACACAGCATTACACAGCACTATACTACACGACACAGCACTACACTACACGAGACAGCACTACACAGAATTCCACTACACGCACAGCACTATATTACAAGACAGCACTACACAACACAGCACTACACTACACGATACAGATTTACACGATACAACACTACATTACACGACACAGCACTACACTACACGACACAGCATTAGACAACACTATATTACACGACACACCATTAGACAGCACTATACTACACGACACAGCACTATACTACACGACACAACGCGACACTACAGTGTAGTGTAGTGCTGGGATCCGCGACAAGATGAAAGAAAGCAATATTTTTTGCCAAAAAATTAATATATACACAAATAACGATTTTTTCCATCACCGACTCTCTCTCTAGAACAAAAGGAAGAAGTCCAAAGAAAATAACTCGTCAAACAAACAGCTTCGGCCGAAATAGCCGAACGGCGAAGTGGGGGACAAGTGCCAGCTTATGAAAGCCGCTGGGTATGTTATTATGTTTCGCCACATTGTACTTAAATCTTATTGATTATAAGCTTGGAGGTATTGCCACTCTTTCTCCTATTCTTGTCTCACATGATTGGTTAGCTCCTGATGATGCCATCATCAACATTCACGAGTCGTTTTTTTCACTCTCTCCCACACCAGCCCCACCCTTCAGTATCAGTACATCCTTCAAGACAGAGTTTGTTTTCATTCACCACAATCATCACTATTATACGACTAGTATTCCCAACTACAGGTATGTTACAAATGGTTATGATTAGGGCAAAACTTCGTATTTATGTGTTCTTCATCACTACTATTACCACCTTAGAAAAAAATGACTTAACTGACACAAAATTGCCCTTGTTATAATGCATGTTTTTATTTACAAGGAATCATAAACAAATAATAACCAATAATCTGGCTAAATAAACAAATTAGAAGTGAATGAATCATGGCAATATTTGTTTCACTCAACTCTTATGAAACTATAATAGGAGTGAAAATAGTGATGTATATTTGTAGATCATTTGTACATTTTACTGAATTTAATAGCATACATCTAGATACTATCCATTTCGTTTAGCAACAATAAATTTTATGAGCATTTTCTTTATACACCGCTTGTTTTTATGTCGGCACCAACAGGTAATTTTTTTTAATGCTTACAGAACGTGTATTGGTTGGTAGCTTAGTTGCAAATTCAAGGTAGACAGATTTTGAAACGTAAATCATCTGACGAGCCATCCACTGCTACTTCATCAAGAACAAGTGAAGTGAGTAGCTCGAACACAAATGAGGAAAAATTTAAAGTGAGGAAGTATGATCCCTCCTATATTGCATATGGGTTTATCTCTGGGGTGAAAAAAGATGGAGTGGAATGCCCGAACAGTGTTCTCTGTCAAGAGATACTCCCAAATGAATGTTTGAAACCATCGAAACTACAAAGACACTTACAGCAGAAACATCCCACTGAGGCCAGAAATCTTTTGATTTCTTCAAACGATAAGAATCATCACTAGCCAGACAGGCAAGTACATTCAGACAGCGAGCCACAGTTCCAGAGAGGGCATTCAAAGCATCCTTTTTAGCTTCCTTTCGTATTGGCAGTGAAAAGAAACCATTACGATCGGGGAAGATTTCCCGTTACCAGCAGCCACAGAAAATGTTCAGGAGTTATTTGGGAATAATGCCGCTAAGCAAGTCGATGTGGTACCCTTATCGAACAATAGATAGATACAAGTAATAGAAGCTCCAAAAGTTGTTGGTAGCGAAAGTCAAAGAGGGGAAGATGACAGAGGAAGAAGCCGGGGGTAAGGAAGGGAATTGTAGTGGGAGAGATAGAGCCGTGGCTTTACACGACGTGCATTATATTTGATTTACTAGAGCAGAGCGCACAAATTGGGTTTTTGTCTGTGTTGGGTGTGTGATCCTCGGGTCACCACTCCTCCGGATTGTGTTAGATACAACTAATAGAAGCTCCAACAACTTTCCCTGAATAAGAATTCGCAACTTTTCGATTTACAACAGGTATCTATTTACTGCTAGGTGAACAGGGACCAAGGGGGCTAGGAAGAATGTCCAAACAACTTTCCGCCGGCCTGAGAATTGAACCCGTGACATCTTGCTTGCGAAGTAAGAGCGGTACCGCTCTACCACCGGCGCCCCTCGAACAATATTGTGAGTAGAAGGATAGATGACATGACCGAGGACGTCACTGTACAAGTTTTGGAGCAGGTGAAAGCCAGTGAGTACTTTGTATTGCAGCTGGACGAGAGCACAGACGTCGCAAACGAAGCACAGCTGCTTGTGCTTATCAGATTTATCAGTGAGGGAAAATTTATTGAGGAGATACTTTTCTGCAAAGCCATAAAGGGTAGGACTACCGGGCAGAACATTTTTCTGATCTTGGATGAATACATGGAGAATAATTCAATTGACTGGTCTTGTTGTGTGGGTGTGTGTACTGATGGCGCCGCTGCTATGACAGGTAAACGTAACGGAGTCGTTGCCTTCGTAAAAATTAAAGCCCCCTATGTCGTCAACACACTTGTAGCGAAACACATTGATGTTGAATTGCATCATGTTCTGCAAGTTGTTTTGAAAATAGTGAACTATGTAAAAGCACACTTCCTGAAACACAGACTGTTTAAAACACTTTACCATGAAATGGGTGCTGGCTTTGAGGGCTTGATGCTCCACTCTGAAGTGCGATGGTTATCACGTGGGGCAGTTTTGAATCGCGTTAGTTTGCCCTACGGAGAGAGCTGGCCGACTTTCTTTCATCAAAGAAGTCAGACCTTGGTAGCTGTTTTGGGGATGGTCATGGATGATGAAGTTAGCATATCTAGCAGATATCTTCCAGCATTTAAATGTACTAAACCAGAGCATGCAAGGCCGTGAAATATGCATTTTGAATGTGCACGACAAAGTACGTGCATTCAAGCAAAAAGTTTCCCTGTGGGAAAGCAAACTTCAGGAAGGTGTCACTGAAATTGTGGTCTGGACAGTTTTGTGGCGTGGCTTCATGTTTTGATGTTGATGGATGACATTGTCCTCTTGGCTACCACTAGAGTCAATATGAATCTTAAATTATCAATACATTGTGATTATTGTAACACTTATAGTCTGAAACCAAAAGAAGACAAATAGCAGCTAAGAGTTGATTCTTAAATTCTGTCCCGTTATCCGAGAGTATCACCCTCGGTGATAGGAAGGATAGATTAGATGAGTGACTAGTGCATGAGCCACTGATTCGGCGGACTTGTTCGGCAATGATGCGAGTAACACAAATCATGAAAAATGGTCAACGCAGACAAGTACGTAACTAGAGCCTTGATGGCTTTTTGGTAGTTGCAATAAATCGATAGCAACTGTATCCCATGGA